TTAGAGTTAGCTCCCACATATATTTTTGCGTCCGATTTTAGGTAAATGGTGCACCAAACTCCTAATCTTTGTCCGATTGACACAAATTTTTTCAAAACGTATCAAATTGAATCTATAATGACGTTATTATATCCCTCATCACTCTGTGGTACAGAGTATAATGTCTTTGTGCATATGTCTGTAACTAACTGATAGAAGCATGGTTTCCTTTAAGAATATGCATACAATCAATTTCTGAGTCGCTTTATGTCCGTCTGTCTTTCCGTCCATGTAAAATTGTAAACAAGTTACAGGTCGCATTTATGATCCCAATCGAATGAAATTTGGCACAACTCATTTATTTAGCACATGATGTCAAATTTCAGTTTTATGATTGTTTCACAATGGATGCCAATGCAACACGTTACTTTTTATTACTTTTATGATACCAAAGTTACTGTGGTAATAAATGTTGTAAACAACACAGGTAGAAACATGTGGGTGTTGATTACCACATCTATTTACACCTTTTCTTAAATTGGGAATACCAGATTAATAAATAACAATAACAGATTAGCGAATATCCGTGCAGGTATATTATCTACCTGCAAAGGATTATAACTAATCCATTATAGCTAATCTGTTATTGTTTACATACTAGTATAAAAAGGTATTATCGGCGAAGGTACCTGCGAAATGGTCATTTTAATCACGTAAACAAGTAACAAATGTATAAATTTACCTGGTTGCACTCTCCATTAGATATTATTTATATGACGTTATTCGCAACTCACGCAATCAGTATTAATATACATTTCAAACGGTGAACACTAAAAATGCCAAGAACCCGGAAACAGAGTGCTGCCACACGCCGACGTGTTATTAGGAATATAATGCAAGAAAGCGAGACTCGCTGAGGACTACGCAAAATAATCCTATTCGACGGTCATACGGGGCAGAATGGAGGAGACTACGTCGGCAAAGTCAGCAATTTAGAAATGCTGAGAGGCAACGTGATGCTGCTGCACATACTCATATGAGAGAGGATTCCGAATTTAGAATGGCTGAGAGGCAACGTGATGCTGTTGCCACACAATGAGGAGAGAGCATTCTGCCCAATTTAGAATGGCTGAGAGGCAACGTGATGCTGATGCCCACACAGCTAGGAGACAGGATTCAGATTTTAGAAGGTCTGAGAGGCAACGTGATGCTGCTGCACGTATGAATAGACGGGGTGATTCTGAATTCCGTGCCGCCGAACAAGAAAGGAACACTACCGAACATGCACACAGACGTCTGAATGAACTGTACCGCAGAGAGGAGCAAGAAAGGGATACAGCAGCGCATTCTCAACGACGACAGAATCCCATATATCATGATCAGGAACAACTGAGGAACACTACCGAACATGCTATTAGACGCCAGGATCCTATATATCATGAGGAGGAGCAACAAAGAAATACTGCGGAACATGCCAATAGACGTCGGGATCCAATCTATAACGAGGAAGAACAACGAAGGAACACAGCATCGCACTCTCAAAGACGGCAAAATCCCGAAACTCGTGTGACAGAGCGTTTACGAAATACGCTGCAACGGCAACAAAGGCGAATCGTGCAGAGGAGCGAACAACAGGATTTGAACCGGTCAATTAGATCTAGAGTGGACTCCCATAGACGAAACCCCAGCAATAGGATTCGGGTCAACACGCAACAGGCGGAACGAAGCAGAAGGCGTAGAAATAGTATTTCTTATGAAGAAAGGCAAGAGGAGTCAGCGCGATTAATTACACGACGAAATCAACTGAAGTTCCAGCGATACAATGAAGTTATAAAACAAGGACCTACAAGGATATGTACATGCTGTGGCGGTTTATGGTTTCCTCACCAGGTGGAATCATTGCAAAAATCAGGTATGTCAAATTTAAATTTTATTAATGACGTATTTTATTTATCTGAAAGGTTTCCCTCCGTTGATGGCTCATATACTTTTTGTAAAACCTGTAGTCGAGCAATTAAGAATGGGAAAAAACCGAATATATGTCTATCAAACGGTTTAGATTTTCCAGACATTCCGAGTTCTCTAAAAGACTTAACGTCGGTAGAGGAACGATTGGTCACAGCTCGATTACCTTTCATGATAATCGTTGCGTTAGGTTTCGAAAGGCAAAGTGCTATTCGTGGCGCAGTAGTTAACGTACCGATATCTGTTAGTGAAACAGTAACGTCCCTTCCAAGGAACTTTGACCAAGCACAGGTGATTCAATTGCATCTTAAACGACGCATGGCATATCAGCATGATTACATGACTGAAACAATAAGACCAGCGAAGGTAATTGATGCGGCCAGATATTTGATTAACACCGAGTTGTATATCAAACATGGAATTTCAATTGACGAAAGTTGGTTTGAAGGATTTAATTCTTCACAGGTCGTGCCTTTTGTGGCCAATCATGAAGACCGGGAAGCAATTGACAATATTTTCCAAAACCAAGTATCGAATGAAGCCACTATGGATGATATTCCGCATACCGATGAATATGCAATAGAAAATCTCAATCCAGGTGGCCAACAAACAATGCTTGAGTGTAGAGCTGTTGAAAATGTACCTCACCAACGAGTTGTAATGGCTCCAGGTGAAGGACGCCGACCAATAGATATGATAATTGATGCTGATTCTGAAGAGTTAGCATTTGTATCTATCTATTGCGGCAAAAAACGTTCCTGTGCGGAATCGTATTCAAAAATTGTGCGCTCCGAGCTCCGACGTTATGACAGACGATGCTGTAGAGTGGATAAAATACTTTATAGTTACAAAAAGCTAGAGCTTTTAACTATTAAAAGTGCAATGTCAATCGCTCTGAGGAAACACACGCGATCTGGAAATGTTACTGCCAGAAACGCATTGGATGATTCATATATGAATAGTCTAATCCAACACGATGACGGATATCGTATTCTTAAAGGTATAAGAACGTCACCAGCTCACTGGGAAGGTGAAAAGAAGAAAGCCGTTGCTATGATTAGACAATTTGGCCTTCCGACATTTTTCATAACTTTATCTGCAGCCGAAACTAAATGGTTGGAGCTTTTAGTTATCCTGTCGAAAACTGTGGACAACATCGATATTTCTGAAGATGATGCTTCAAATTTGTCCTTCTCAGAAAAAGCTCGATTGATTCGTAGTGATGCAATAACCTGCTCCCGATACTTCGATTTCCGTTTCCGGCAACTGTTTTCTCTATTTAAAATGAATGATGGGATTTTCGATGAACATTTTGTGGAGAAATACTATTGGAGAGTGGAATTCCAACAACGTGGATCACCTCACATACATGGCATGTACTGGCTAAAGGATGCTCCTAAAATAGACCTTACTAATTCATCTTCTTTTGCTTCTGTCAAGTTTCATAGATAAATATATTTCTACTAATGGATCTGATGAACAGTTACAAGAATATATTGCTTATCAGCGTCACAACCACAATCGTTCTTGTACTAGAGAATATCGTGGTGAAAAGATTTGTCGTTATGGTATGCCATATCCGCCGCTACCAGCACCAGAAATTTTATTGCCGCTTCCTGAAAACTGTGAAAATATTCAGGAATTAAAAGAGAGCTATGATAGAATTCAAAGCATGTTAAATGCAAATTTGGATTCAGAACAAATCTCTCAATTAAACAATTTTGAAAATTTCTTGTCACATGAAAATATAAATCTAATGTATGAGAACTATTTATTAGCTCTTAGATCGTCGCTAAAAAACCTAAAATTTTCCTAAAAAGAAGGTTCGAAGATAAAATGGTCAATGCATACAATCCAACAATATTGTCACTGCACAGAGCAAATATGGATATTCAATATATCCTAGATCCTTATGCGTGCTGTAGATTAATAAATAACAATAACAGATTAGCGAATATCCGTGCAGGTATATTATCTACCTGCAAAGGATTATAACTAATCCATTATAGCTAATCTGTTATTGTTTACATACTAGTATAAAACGGTATTATCGGCGAAGGTACCTGCGAAATGGTCATTTTAATCACGTAAACAAGTAACAAATGTATAAATTTACCTGGTTGCACTCTCCATTAGATATTATTTATATGACGTTATTCGCAACTCACGCAATCAGTATTAATATACATTTCAAACGGTGAACACTAAAAATGCCAAGAACCAGGAAACAGAGTGCTGCCACACGCCGACGTGTTATTAGGAATATAATGCAAGAAGAGCGAGACTCGCTGAGGACTACGCAAAATAATCCTATTCGACGGTCATACGGGGCAGAATGGAGGAGACTACGTCGGCAAAGCCAGCAATTTAGAAATGCTGAGAGGCAACGTGATGCTGCTGCACATACTCATATGAGAGAGGATTCCGAATTTAGAATGGCTGAGAGGCAACGTGATGCTGTTGCCCACACAACTAGGAGAGAGCATTCTGAATTTAGAATGGCTGAGAGGCAACGTGATGCTGATGCCCACACAGCTAGGAGACAGGATTCAGATTTTAGAAGGTCCGAGAGGCAACGTGATGCTGCTACACGTATGAATAGACGGGTGATTCTGAATTCCGTGCCGCCGAACAAGAAAGGAACACTACCGAACATGCACACAGACGTCTGAATGAACTGTACCGCAGAGAGGAGCAAGAAAGGGATACAGCAATCTATAACGAGGAAGAACAACGAAGGAACACAGCATCGCACTCTCAAAGACGGCAAAATCCCGAAACTCGTGTGACAGAGCGTTTACGAAATACGCTGCAACGGCAACAAAGGAATCGTGCAGAGGAGCGAACAACAGGATTTGAACCGGTCAATTAGATCTAGAGTGGACTCCCATAGACGAAACCCCAGCAATAGGATTCGGGTCAACACGCAACAGGCGGAATAGAAATAGTATTTCTTATGAAGAAAGGCAAGAGGAGTCAGCGCGATTAATTACACGACGAAATCAACTGAAGTTCCAGCGATACAATGAAGTTATAAAACAAGGACCTACAAGGATATGTACATGCTGTGGCGGTTTATGGTTTCCTCACCAGGTGGAATCATTGCAAAAATCAGGTATGTCAAATTTAAATTTTATTAATGACGTATTTTATTTATCTGAAAGGTTTCCCTCCGTTGATGGCTCATATACTTTTTGTAAAACCTGTAGTCGAGCAATTAAGAATGGGAAAAAACCGAATATATGCCTATCAAACGGTTTAGATTTTCCAGACATTCCGAGTTCTCTAAAAGACTTAACGTCGGTAGAGGAACGATTGGTCACAGCTCGATTACCTTTCATGATAATCGTTGCGTTAGGTTTCGAAAGGCAAAGTGCTATTCGTGGCGCAGTAGTTAACGTACCGATATCTGTTAGTGAAACAGTAACGTCCCTTCCAAGGAACTTTGACCAAGCACAGGTGATTCAATTGCATCTTAAACGACGCATGGCATATCAGCATGATTACATGACTGAAACAATAAGACCAGCGAAGGTAATTGATGCGGCCAGATATTTGATTAACACCGAGTTGTATATCAAACATGGAATTTCAATTGACGAAAGTTGGTTTGAAGGATTTAATTCTTCACAGGTCGTGCCTTTTGTGGCCAATCATGAAGACCGGGAAGCAATTGACAATATTTTCCAAAACCAAGTATCGAATGAAGCCACTATGGATGATATTCCGCATACCGATGAATATGCAATAGAAAATCTCAATCCAGGTGGCCAACAAACAATGCTTGAGTGTAGAGCTGTTGAAAATGTACCTCACCAACGAGTTGTAATGGCTCCAGGTGAAGGACGCCGACCAATAGATATGATAATTGATGCTGATTCTGAAGAGTTAGCATTTGTATCTATCTATTGCGGCAAAAAACGTTCCTGTGCGGAATCGTATTCAAAAATTGTGCGCTCCGAGCTCCGACGTTATGACAGACGATGCTGTAGAGTGGATAAAATACTTTATAGTTACAAAAAGCTAGAGCTTTTAACTATTAAAAGTGCAATGTCAATCGCTCTGAGGAAACACACGCGATCTGGAAATGTTACTGCCAGAAACGCATTGGATGATTCATATATGAATAGTCTAATCCAACACGATGACGGATATCGTATTCTTAAAGGTATAAGAACGTCACCAGCTCACTGGGAAGGTGAAAAGAAGAAAGCCGTTGCTATGATTAGACAATTTGGCCTTCCGACATTTTTCATAACTTTATCTGCAGCCGAAACTAAATGGTTGGAGCTTTTAGTTATCCTGTCGAAAACTGTGGACAACATCGATATTTCTGAAGATGATGCTTCAAATTTGTCCTTCTCAGAAAAAGCTCGATTGATTCGTAGTGATGCAATAACCTGCTCCCGATACTTCGATTTCCGTTTCCGGCAACTGTTTTCTCTATTTAAAATGAATGATGGGATTTTCGATGAACATTTTGTGGAGAAATACTATTGGAGAGTGGAATTCCAACAACGTGGATCACCTCACATACATGGCATGTACTGGCTAAAGGATGCTCCTAAAATAGACCTTACTAATTCATCTTCTTTTGCTTCTGTCATTAGTTTCATAGATAAATATATTTCTACTAATGGATCTGATGAACAGTTACAAGAATATATTGCTTATCAGCGTCACAACCACAATCGTTCTTGTACTAGAGAATATCGTGGTGAAAAGATTTGTCGTTATGGTATGCCATATCCGCCGCTACCAGCAACAGAAATTTTATTGCCGCTTCCTGAAAACTGTGAAAATATTCAGGAATTAAAAGAGAGCTATGATAGAATTCAAAGCATGTTAAATGCAAATTTGGATTCAGAACAAATCTCTCAATTAAACAATTTTGAAAATTTCTTGTCACATGAAAATATAAATCTAACGTATGAGAACTATTTATTAGCTCTTAGATCGTCGCTAAAAAAACCTAAAATTTTCCTAAAAAGAAGGTTCGAAGATAAAATGGTCAATGCATACAATCCAACAATATTGTCACTGCACAGAGCAAATATGGATATTCAATATATCCTAGATCCTTATGCGTGCTGTAGTTATATTATTAACTACATTAATAAATCCAATCGTGGTGTATCCAGAATACTTCGAGATGCTGTTGAAGAAATTAGAGCTGGCAATCATTCCATAAAGCAAAAGCTACAGCATATTGCCCATAAATTTATCTCTGGTACGGAAATATCAGCTCAAGAGGCCACATATTGCTGTTTAGGGATGCGGCTTTCAGAGAGTAGTAATGCCGAGGTTTATATAAATACTGGTCGACCAGAAGAGCGAGTATTTCTGTTGAGACCTCGAGAACAACTACAAAATTTGCCACCAGATTCATCAGACATTTATGCTGTTGGTATTTTGGAACATTATGTTCAAAGACCAGACGAACTAGAGCATATATGCTTGGCAGACTTCGCAGCAAATTATAAGTATTCAAAATCTCGAAGATCCAATAACAGGGAAGCAGATTACGAAGAGCAAGATCCTGAAGAAAATGCTGAGCAAATCTTACGCATATTTAAGTTAAAGGATAATAGTGGCTTTGTGCAGGAAAAAATTAAACCTCATGTTATTCGTTACCGGCGATATAATGTAAATACTCACCGAAGCGACTATTTTAGAGAACTCGTAATGCTGTTCCATCCTTGGAGAAATGAGGAACTTGATTTATTGCATAACGACAACGAAGCCACATGCATCGCTTTAAAAGAAAGTATTGAGTTCAACCGAAAAAAATACGATGTCTTTGAGGATCGAGAACTCGAAAATATTCTTCAGCGTCTACGAGATGAAGACAGCATTGAAGATGTCAACGAAGAAGCAGGTAATATTGATGATGAATTCAGAGTTCTTGGAGTACCAGAAATAGATCCAAACGTTAATATATTAAATACGGAGGGTGATGGTACATCGGCTGAAACTTCTGAAACATCATTGCGTATTATTAAACTTCCTCCTTTGATTTCTGAGTCGGATCTCCTGAATATGGTTCGCACATTAAATACGAAACAGAAGCTCTACTTGACACATCTTTCCCACAATATAAAATGTTCATCCGTATTTTATGAATTTGTTAGTGGAGGTGCTGGCGTCGGAAAAAGTAGACTAATATCAGCTATTTATCAAACAGTAAATAGAAGGCTGAATAGTATACCAGGGTCTGACCCAACTTCAATTAAAGTGCTTTTAACAGCACCTACAGGAAAAGCAGCTTTTGGTATTGGCGGTGCCACATTACATTCAGTATTTTCTCTTCCCGTCAATCAGTCAAGCTCTGAGTTGAGACCATTAGGTCCTGATGCTTTAAATTCAATGTATACTAAACTTATGAATTTAAAATTATTGATAATTGACGAAATATCGATGGTGGGAGCAAAAATGCTTTCATATCTTGATGCAAGAATGAAACAAATTTTCAAAAGCACTGAATATTTCGGCGGTGTATCCGTTCTTGTACTTGGAGACTTAAAACAGCTGTCACCCGTTGGCGATCGTTGGATATTTGCAGCACCAACGACTGATCCATATGCTGAAATATATGGAACTACAACGTGGGATAAATTCAAATATTTTGAACTTACTGAGATTATGCGACAAAGAGAAGATCAGTCGTTCGCTATTGCCTTAAATAACATGGCTTCAGGGCAAATGACAAATGATGATGTTTGTCTCTTACGAGAACGTATTGTATCTCCGTCTGCCGTACCTGATGAAGCGATTCATCTCTTTTGTTCTAATGACGAAGTAAATATTTACAATACATTGAAGCTGAATTCTATTCCTACAGAAGAGGTTGTATCAGTCGCATGTGATTTTGTCAAATCCACTGGCTTAACAGACGAAAATAGGAACCGGATCAAGGAATCTGTTAAAACGTTTAAAGTCTCTGAAACTCAAGGTTTACCATATCAGCTAATACTAAAAACTACAGCTAAATACATGGTAACAGTAAACATTGACACCAGTGATGGTCTGGTAAATGGAGCTACTGGTCAACTTATGGAAGTAAATTTCATCGGCTCAACGAGAAAGCCTTCTACTCTTTGGATCAAATTTCCTCAAGAAAATACAGGAGCCATCGCTCGTTCCAAAAGAAGGCATCCGTCTGAACAGTTATGGACTCCAATAGATATTTGTGTAAAAACGTTTCAATATAAACGTAATGAACACGTAAATATTGATCGTAAGCAGTTTCCTATTGTACCGGCAGAGGGCATAACTATTCATAAAAGCCAAGGAGCGACATATGAAAAAGTTGCAGTCCATTTGAAGTCTCGCATGAGTAGATCAGCGCTATATGTAGCTTGTAGTAGAGCGACTACTGCTGCTGGACTTTTTCTGTTGGGTTCGTTTGTACCACCAAAGCCATTTAAGGAAAATGATAATGTACAATTGGAAATGACTAACTTACGAACTAACAAGTGTCTTAAAACCCATTACGAGTTTATGCATGAGATTAATGCTTTGAAAATTGTATACCATAATGTTCAAAGCCTTCATGCTCATATTGAAGACATTCGGAAAGATTCGGTAATGTTAAAGGCTGATGTGTTATGTTTTGTTGAAACTTGGACGCTGCATAATGAAAACTATGAAATTCCAGGGTTCACAGTATTGCCAAGGATGAGATTGGATTCAACGGACCAAATCTGTCGTAGATGTAAACGGGGCTTAATTGTTTTTGTGAAAAATGAAATCTCTGAATTTACTCAGTATAAATACCAAAAAAAGGTCCATGTACATAATAAAACATTTGAATTTCTGGTGTTTCAAATTAGAGATATTCACATAATGGTCTTATATCGAAACAGCAATTATGGGGTGCATTCTCTTCATCTTGAACTACACTATGTTCTGGAAAACTGCATAAATGCAAACTCTCAAAAGGTTGTTATTTTAGGAGATTTCAATATATGCCGACAACGAACGAAATCGTAAACTGAAATATTCCTAAACAATAACAACCTTCTTTCTATTCTGAATACGCCAACAACGAAAGGTTTAACACAAATTGATTGGTGTTTCAGTAATATTGACGATAGCTTAATAAATGCTATAACATACGAAACTGTACATAGTTACCATGACGCGATATGTGTTAACATATCCAATTGAATTGTAATATTTTTCTCTTATTTTATTAATTATTAGTTAAGTAAATGCCATGACGTGATATGTATTCACATATTAAATTAACCTGTAACAAATTCTTAGTTTATAATATATGATTTTAGCAAGAAATAAAATGCAATTGTACATTTGATATATTGTTCGTATATCAAAATGAATACATATCAAAAGTGTTTTAAATTGTTAAATTATATTAACAGTTTTAAGACAATCCTATTTGCTTGAATTGATTGTTTTATTTACAATTATATTACAAGTAAAAATAAAACCAAAACATGTCGAAGGATAAGCTATTAAGCGTAGTAGCTTTATGTCATTCGACTGTTTACTCCTCTTTGGAATAAGCCTCGACGTGGCGGTGGAGCTAAGTACTTTCAAACTAGAAGGAAACTAATTATTCCATGTTTTTGTCTTCAATTCTTAACACCTGTTAAAAATTTAGTCAGTCAATGAAGATATATTAAATATGTTATTTCCACCATCATTACATGATGGCTATATTAACAACTGAAACATGTTGAATGGCCGTTACTTTAGTAGTGTTTTATTATTCGACTGTTTTACTCCTCCAAGGAATAAGCCTTGACGTGGAGCTAAGTACTTTCATAAAAGAAAGGAAACCAATTATTCCGTGTTTAGTGTTGTAGGTTATAATATAGTCGACAACGCCAGATATTCAAGTCATCTTTTCCTTAAAAGCGAGATTTGTTTGAGTTTATACAAATGTCCGATTTCATATCCCCAAAAGATGATACATTTATTCTATCTTACGGAGCAGATTTTGTGTATATCCCAAGTGGTGAAGGGTATCATATAGTCGGCTCCGCCCGACTTTACTACTTTCCTTACTGGTTTTGATGTAATATAATTGATGATGTCTGTCTGAATGTTGTGTTCATCAATTTTTCACTGAAAACATTTGGGCAATTTTACTGGCCTGGCCTTTAACAAATTCCAAACTGTTCGACATTCCCTTTTTAATGGCTTCAGTTTTATTTTGTTGTTGCTGCTGCTGCTGTTGCTGTGTGACAACCTGCATGGCATTATTATGATCTACACTTTTGGATGATTGAATTGCATTATGATGATTTGTAATTGCTGCAGCTCTATGATGTAGTTGATTTGGAAACATTCGCAGTAAAACATAATTAAAACTACGAATGCGGTGCAAGAAGATAGGTATTTTTAGATCGATTTGTCAACGAATGTACTAATCGATTACATTAACTTTTATTATTGCTTCAAGTTCACATTTGGTCTGTTCCCGTACAGCAAGAATCTAACGAAAACGACAAAAACCTATGTCGATGAACACGACGAATAAAAAGTAAATACTTCAATAGATATGCGATTAAATTTAGTTTTGTACTTAATCTATATATATAAATAAAAGAGTTGCGTTATAAATAAAGGGCCAAGCAGAATGCTCGCGTTGAGCCATCCGTCGCGTTATGTGTTATCGAAAATACAACAACCACAAGGAAACGATAACACTAAAGCTTGAAGTTGATGTGCGCAGCGCTTCGGAGTTAAATATACATAAACTTTTCGCGTGCGTTAACGCGATAACAAAAAAAAAACGCTCAACGCGTACATTTTGTTTACCCCTTGACTGATTGATCATCAACGCCAAGACGAAACGGTTAAAGCTAGAACTTGAAATTTGGCATGTAGGTCGGGTTTGGTGCGTAGGCGTGTGATAAGGCGGGGTTTTTGGAAATTCGTACTAAAAAGTATTAAAAACTGAATTGTGCTTGAATGGTTAGATGAGAAAGTCTGAAATTTGGCACGTAGCTTTGTCTACGACGAGCGAAGTGGAATGTGTAAAAAAAAATTTTAAAATTTAGTACCAAGAAGTATTAAAAAGTACTAAAGATTATATTTGAATGGAATAGGTAGATATACATATCTGTATGTAGCTTCATCCACTACAAATAGAATGAGGTGCAAACATATATTTTGGAAATTAGTACTAAAAGGAACTAAAAAGTACTAAAACTGTGTTACGCCGGAACGGTTGGAATAGAACTAGGAAATTTGGTATGCAGCTTTGTCAATAATAAGGGAAGGTACTAAAAAGTACTAAATAATATATTTAAATAGAGACAGTAGAGATACATTTCTTAAACTTGGTACGAAGCTTAGCTATTACAAATAGAATGTTGTACAAACATATTTTTTGCAAATTAGTATTAAAATGGTGCTAAAACATACCAACAACTGTATTACTCCAGAACGGTTTGAATTAGAACTCTGAAATTTGGTATGATAGTCAATGATAGGCGAAGGGGAATATGTGAACAAATTTAGGAAATTAGTATTAAAGATACTAAGTAGTACTTAATATTACATTACAATGGAACAGGTAGTAATATACAGTGGCGAGCAGAAACGAGTACATGTTTGGATCCTGGACACTTTTTACGTCATAAAAATTAAACTAAAAAAGCTAATTCAAAAATGTTGGTTACAATTTATTGGGCATTTTGTACTTAACAAAACGACCTAAATTTAAAAATCCAACTCTTAAAAATAACTAAGAAAAAATAAAGAAAACGAAATCAACCCCAATGTACTCACTTTTTCACGTCTGCATTTTTGTTAATAATGTGCAGAAAAGGAATGTAAAATCACGTTTTTGAAAACTTTTTTTGGTTTTCATTAGTTTTTTTAAGAAAATATATAAGTTTTACATCATTCAAATCCCGTCTACTAAAAAATTGTACAAAATTTTGAACAAAAATCAAATAAATAACTAATAATAATAAATCAAGAAGAAATATATTGTTACGAAAATAACTTTAGATTTAAGATTAATTTAGATGAATTCCGTTAATTTAAGAATTTGAATTGTAACGTAAATTTCTACTACGCAGTTTATACGAATAACTTCACAACAACAACTACTGTATAGATTTTTCTACATCCTTCCATTTCCTCTTCCATTTTCTATTTTGTTATTGTCGTACAATTCTTGTTAAACGTCATCATTGATGATCGCTTAATTCCTCTTTCTTTGTTACCCCCTCGCCTGTATATGTGTTGTTGTTATTGTTTACTCAATGTAAGTTTGTATGTGTTGTTGTTATTGTTTACTCAATGTAAGTTTGTATGTGTTGTTGTTATTGTTCACTCAATGTAAGTTTGTATGTGTTGTTGTTATTGTTCACTCAATGTAAGTTTGTATGTGTGTTGCATTGGTAGATTGTTCGTGATCTAGGTGTTACCAGATCGTCTAGAAACTTCTGTAGCGACAAGCAAGGCTCATATAAATAGGGGAAATGGAAAGGCAATTAGTCAGTTGTGAATCAGATCGCGAATTGAAACCGTCGTGTAAAGTAAAGTGCAAAGTAAAGTTGTGTGAATAAAGTCATTGTAATAATCGTAATCTGAAAGAACCCGCGTTTTATTTGATACGAACTGTATCGGGAAATAAAACAAAGTCTACACGGGATTAAGTAAAATCCAAGAACGTAACAATTGGTGTCAGAAGTGGGATTACGATAATACTACGATGAAGTTTAAGGATCTACGAGTGGAAGACTTGAAGAAGGAGCTGAATAAATTGGAATTGTCCTCTACTGGCAACAAGGCTGAGCTACAAAAACGTCTGTTGGATGAGTTCGAGCGCCGTGGTATGAACATCGATACATACGAGTTTGACAGTAAGGATGAAGTGGATTTATCGGAAATGGGCGAATCCAACGGTGGGGAAGTCTCGTCAGTAGCTGCCAGGGGTGACGATTTCAGAGAAATGCTGGCTAAAATGTTCGAAGAGAATTCCAGAAACACAAGACGAATGTTCGAAGAGAATTCCAGAAAATTAGAAGAAAACTCGAGACGAATGTTCGAAGAGAATTCCAGAAACTTAGAAGAAAACACGAGACGAATGTTCGAAGAAAATTCGAGAATAACGAACGAGAAACTCGAGTACATTACAGAAGTTATTGGAAGGAGAGTGGAAACTGTGGAGGTCCAAATTAAAGAGTTGGATAAGAAAGTGCAGTCGGTTGACGAGAAATTTCTGGCCCACGACCACAGGTTTACGAATCTGGAGAAGAAAATTCGGAACTGGAAATTAAAGGTGGTCCGGTGCGAGTTCCTGATAACGCACTAAAAATCAAACCTCCTGTATTCGACGGCTCTACGTCATTCAATGTTTTCAAGTTACAGTTCGAGACAGTGGCTTCTAGAAATTCGTGTAACAACAGCGACAAAGCGGTTGCACTACTTCTGGCATTGAAGGGCAGTGCTGCTGATGTTATACAGAGTATTCCTGTCGCTTCTAGGAACAATTATGAAGATGTTATTGCTGCACTGGAACGTAAGTACGGTGGCGAACATAAACAAAACATCTACCTTATGGAACTAAGGGGAAGAGTGCAGAGGGCAAACAAGACGTTGCAAGACTTTGCAGCTGAGGTGGAACGTTTGGTGCTAATGGCGTATCCAGGAGAGAATCATCCATTGGTGGACCGTATTAAAATCGAAACCTTTGTGAATGGCATACGTGACCCTGAGATTAAATGTGCAACATATGCGTCACCAAAAGCGTCATTTGCCGAAACCGTGACATTTGCCCTTGCCCAAGAGACGGCAAGAATAATTGTTAAGCCCCAGACCCTCAAGATTCGCCAACTGGAGACCGAAGGTTGCGATCCCAAATCTCTCGTTAACTCGATCGAAGGCGCTATGAGGCGGGTAATAGAAGAAACAAAGTTAGTTGGAATGACTAAGCCCAGGGTTAGATGCTACAACTGCGATAAAACAGGTCATATTGCGCGCGAATGCAGAGCTAAGCGCAAACGATCCAGGTCATCGTCACCACCTCCCACGAAAGATGGTAGAAGAATGGCTCAACAGTCCACCAATGAGTCATGGCTCAACAGTCCACCATCGACGATGGCCCCACAATCTCCATAGCAATAGTACAGCAGAAAAGTCACAACCTAACAACAACTGGGTACATCAATGGTGACAAGCGAGTTCTGACGTTAGATACTGGCGCATCAAAGTCCATCATAAGATCAGATCTGGTAAAGGGAAAAATAACGCAACTTAATGGAGTCAGACTGCGCACAGCAACGGGGGAGCCCGCGGCAGTACACGGCAAGATTACCCTGAGACTAACTATTGCCAATAAATCGGAGAATTACGAGTTTATAGTTGCCGATATCGTAGACGAAGTGATAATAGGCGCAGATTTTATGATTGCCTTTGGTATCGATCTGGATATGAAAGAACGTGTGATGACCTGGTCTAACGTCGAAATTCCGTTAAACGTGGGCTACGATGAAAGTACACCCATTAGACGTCTGACTACGGACCATCCAGAGATAATACCGCCCTGTGCCGAAGCAATAATATGGGTACCAATGAATGGAGATTGTGGGTGGTGGAACCAGTAGAAAACATAAACAGTAACATCCTAATAGCGAATGCCCTGGTGAAAAGCAACAAGGACGGATTGATTCCTGTTAGAGTTTTGAACCTGTCAAACAAGCAAGAGCAAATTTGCCAATTTTCCGATGTTGGACAATGCACACCAGCTGAAGCTGTAATTAATTTGGAAACTAGCACCGAAAAGCCAGCAGCCATGGAGAAGAAGCACCTCGACGGCTACATAAAAGAGTGGACACACCAATTATCACCTTCCCAGAGGAACAAGGCTAAGCAGCTGTTATGGAAATATGCCGCTACCTTTGCGTTGACAAAAGAGCACCAAGGAAGAACATCAGTGGTGAAGCATGAAATCCATACAGCAGACGCGAGACCCATTAAACAGCCTCCAAGAAGTGTTCCCCTAGCAAAAAGAGACGAGGTCCAGAAGCTGATAAGTGAAATGGAAAAGAGTGGTGTAATAGAAACATCGTCAAGTCCATGGTGCTCCCCAGTGGTCTTGGTCAAGAAAAAAAGACGGAAGCACCCGATTTTGTGTGGACTACAGAAAGTTGAATGATGTCACCAAGAAAGACAGCTATCCGCTCCCAAGAATCGACGACACTTTGGACACATTAGCCGGGACGTCATGGTTCTCCACCCTCGACCTGCAGAGTGGGTACTGGCAAGTAGAGATCGCCGAGAAAGATAAAGAGAAAACAGCGTTTGGCGTTAATGGGGGTCTCTGGCAGTTCAATGTCATGCCATTCGGACTCTGCAACGCCCCGGCTACATTTGAAAGGCTGATGGAGCGTGTGTTAAAAGGGCTGCAGTGGAAGTCGTGCCTCATATACCTGGATGACATCATAGTCATGGGACGCAACTTCGACGAACACATCAAGAACTTAAGGGATGTTCTACAGCAGCTTTCGTCTTCAGGCCTCA